TATACCAGGTATATTGCTGGATAGTTCGATGCTCGAAGGTGTTTGTAATAGACAGTCCGTTGTTTACACAAAACCGCTACAACTTTATGGCATTACTGTTGAGGTCCCTAGGACTGTTCTTGGCAATCACGTCTTTCCACTTTTCTGTATTTGCTCCGACATGCGCACTGAAGCCGCCCATAAGAATGAAAGACTACGTAATCGGCACTTCGTGCAGACTACCTTCTACTTCCTCAAGAAAGCAGTCATATTCACTTTTTCAGTTGGGCGCATGAACCTGTAACAAGATCAAAGCTTTAGCCTGTTGCAGTTTCACCCTTTCGCTAACAGACTTCCATTCAGTCATTCTATCAACCAGGTTGAGTTCTACTAGAATGCCAACACGAGCCTGAGCGCGCGTCGTGATGGCGATAGTTAGGCAGAATGACTTCCACCAGCGGAGGTTCAGAATTTCAGAGCCTTGTTGCTTCTTTGACGAGAGTCCAACTATATCCAGGCGGTAGCTTGCGGCCTTATCAAAGAGGTCCCCCTCCTTACAATTTCTGACTGTCGGTATCGCTCCCGTGGAACTTTATTTCAACTGCTATAACAGCATTGCGCTGTTTGCCTCATCCGTACAGAAGGGGCAGCGGCTCTGTTGCTGACTGGCATCTTCGTCTTCTACTCGATCAAAATGCTGTTTATGTGGGAGATCAAAATATGCAAGTAATGTGATCTAATGGCAGCAAACAAGGTGTTTAGATAGTGGAGTCATGGTCAGCGAATGGCGGAACTACCCTGTGAAACGACCAATGAACGTCTGATGGCAGGTGGCTGCAAAGAAAGCCGCCAACAATACGGGAGGATCTTTATATGGCCTACATAACACAGAAATGACTACAGAATGAGCACGTATTTATTCAGTCGAGGTAGAATGCTTGTAGGGCACGTGAGGTCATCTTGGATGCAACGAGACGAATGCAACATGAGGAGGAAGACGAAAAAGAAGTGTGTGTATGTGTCGAAATTCCTTCAGCGAAAAATTTGTACGGAAGTGTTTCAGAAATTCTATTTCGGCAGAGCCTCAGCATATCGCAGCAGAAGAAGCAGCAACATTATAAAGAAATATGAACAGTAAAAAAGCAGGCAATCAATTACCGAGATCGTTGCAATAGTCCAAAATGCTGACCAGCGCATTTTTCTCGATAAAACCTTAAAAGAAAACGGGAACAACAGCATCACGGGCATAATCGCCAGACGTACTTTTGATGATTCCCCAGCAGTTCTTCCGGTAATGAATTTTACAGTGCATCCGGAGGCGACATCGATCAGATGAGACTCGTGACAAACACCAGCTGGTGATGACGAAGAACGTATCTGAGTAAGGAATGCCGTAATTGGTTACCTCACACCGAACAACGTAGTACTGTCCCGACTTGTTGCAATCCGTGCACTCCTAAACGTGAAAAGCTAAATGAGAAACGTTAAGAAATACAGAGCAGCTTCTGGCTTCAATCGGCCGTGGCATTCGGTGTCAGCCCTTTGGAAGTTGCTGTAAACGGCTTCCACTAGATTTTTACATTAGCGGTCATCACGGGGACTGTTCAAACCGTCGAGCGATGTTGTTTGCAAGTGTTTTGCCTTTGCATCGCAGAATGTACTGTTCGCCAACTGGTTCTTTGGTTGCTTCTGCGCCAGATCTTCGCCCGGTGCTCCACTGCTTACAGCGTATCGTTTAGCGGGCCAGTTGGCGTAGTTGCTTTTAACATCAGTAGCACTGTTTTACCAAACAGATCTGGCCTGGGGTACGTAAAGCTGCGGTGTAATTAGATTATACCAAGGCATTTCGGATATGCCTTGTTTCTCATTCGATCATCGCAGAACGACACTTCGAGAGTGCGTATCGCGCGGACTGTAGAAGTGAAAGGTAGTGACAGTTGTTTTTCATAAATTCAGAATGGAGCTACCAGCGCTGAGTGGGGTACTGGCTGACAAAACTCCTTACATTTATGCCTTCTGAAGCAGTTGTGTCTAGAAGAAGGAAAATGTTACTATAAATGAGTATGGAAGAACATAAGGTGAATATTAGAAAGTAATATGAAATCTTTTTATTAAGTCGTCTGCCCTCTAAGCAGGGGAGGTGAACTCAGAGGATGTACGCATATTGCCTCGCCATCAGAAACAAGACGTTCCGAAACATCGTCTGCCGTTCGATTAGAGACCGCGACCGCGTCGCTTGAATCAAGCACAGCATTCATATAACCGCTTTCATAACCGCAGTGCACACAAAAATAGGTTACCGTCATTGTACCTGTTTTTCTACGACTTCGGCACTTTTCGGAGCGAATGCGTGATTAACAGCTACCGTATAGCTGATCTGCCTGATTTTCGCGCCGCTGATTTTGTCGATCTTCCAGTCGCCATATACGATATCTGAAAGTAGCGCAAAGTAGCAGAGACGTGGAGAAGGAAAACGCTGAGCGGCGCTTTCGCTCTCGCCATCGCCCTCGCTTACTGGTGGTATTGCGCACCTCGTGCACCATGCGGAAGAATTTCGAGTCGGTGAACAACCAGATGAACAGCTGGTCGACGGTCATCGGAAACACGTCGTTGAGCATCTCGCGGCCTTCATGGTTGGAGCACGGACATGAAATCTCTTCTTCGCCCTCATTCTCCGACGAGTCAGTCAGGTTTTCAGCGGTGATCGCCGTCGTCATGTCGCTGAATGACTTCGACTTCGAGTCCAGACTGGCGGGTGTCGTGCTGCTGCCGTCCGAAACGCGCTCGCCTGTAGAAATCGAAGACCAACAAATCAACAAGCACTTCAACAAACAGAAGCAACATACCGCTCGAAGACACGCACGCCTTTTTGTCGCCTGCCGTCGCATCTTGAAACACCGCATGCTTGCGGACACGCAACGTGTTTGGCAAGTTGCCACAGCTACGCGTAAATTCGTTTGACTAAAATCATAATTAATTTGACGCCGCAAATGAGACATAAGAGATTAAACAGCAAAACACCAGGTTCCAGCATTACTGGTAGCCCATCGGCTGCCGAAGCATACAAAGCTGACCAACGATAAGCACTCATTCGGGTAATGCATGCACCATTTCACAGCGCTGATGACTAGAAATCGAAATACGACAGTATTACATTGATGAGGTCATAAAACTGAGAACAACGCTGACATCAGCTTCACTCGGGACAAAGGGGAAGGCCAGATGAACGCTTTTCGTTCATAAGATGATCAAAAGAGCAGGAAACGATTTCAGAAACCTAGTGATTAGCATGGGAAAAGATCTGCCAACCTGACAGCTTCACAATGGTTAAGTACACTAATGCAAAAAAGCACATGCCTAAATAGTTACTATAAGCACAGTAAACTCACACTTCAATAATTCTGTACACAATTAACATCCTTTGCTTGCCCTGATGATGACTTATGTTGTTTGGTTGAGACGTCAGCAATTCTGGTAAAGACTATCAAATTCGTCTATTTCGTTGTCTCTATAACCACTGAGATATCAATGCATTGAAGAAGACACGGAAGTGAAATGCGTTTCAGAAATCAGAGCACTCTAAGTAACTAAGGTTTTAATACTCAAGTTTCTGTTTCATTCTAATACGGTATAAGTCGATTTAACAGACCATTCGAAGGAAGAAGGTTGCGCAAAATCAAAAAGTCCGTAAAATAACATCTATGTAAAACCAAGGGGTCCGTTAAATAACAAACTTTAGCTTTCGAAATCAGCGTGAACGTTGTTTACGTGCAGAACAATAAATTTCCCATACATCCAGCATTTATTATTTATTGCATATTCATATTTCATTCATATAATAAATTAAACATCGGCATTAGCAAGGAAAAACAACATTATTATGTCTATTTATCGCTGGAAGTGGAATCGGTTACTTTTATTCGATGTTTACTGCCGTATCTGGTGAAAGACCTGCCCTATGAGTTACTAGGCTTAGATGATTTAGTTTTCGACTGACTAATTGGCTTGAAGAAAGAATCCAACTGTACTTTCGAATACTGCTGCATAAGAACAGTAATCCCTCTGAAAATTAGGAACGGAGAGTAATGTGGCGGAACTTCAAGATCAGATGAAAAGTTGATAAACGAAGTCAAGTCGTCAGAATGAAACTGTAACTGAGACAGAAAAAGTTTGCAGACTGATGGTCCTTCCTCATCGCCGTTATTGGTTTTTTCGCCCGTTTTAGAGAGCAGAAAATTTTTCTGCTATTTCTCTCAGTCATCACTTGATATCATGGATCATTTATCCTCCTCTAGATACTTAAGAATAGAATCAGCTGTTGTCTCCGCCATTTAAAACTGATGGGTTGGTATCTAACACTATGCAGATGTTACGAACACAGTACCAACAGTAGCAGCCCTTTATATAAACAACTTCATTTTTTAACGATGCCGTCAATTCGAATCAAAGCAGTTTTGACTTTGCACCGGAATTCGCTGAGGTAGTACATAAGTCATACCAGTAGAGCAGTCAGAAAGCAACGAAAAAGTACCGTTAACTATAACCAAACAGAACAAAGTAACTAATAAGGAAAGGATATATATTTGTGCGTCAAATTCAAAGTC